CCCCCCGCGGGAAAGTACCAGGTGCTGACAGCTGAATGCCCACCAGGGGCCCAGCGCCTTACACAGAACCAGGATTTGATCTCACAGCCGCCCCGCAGCCCACAACCGAGTGCCCAGCGCAGGCCTGCAGCCCCTGTGCTGGCCCCCAGCGGGCTCAGGCTCCTTGGCCAGCGCCCTCCCAGGGAACCGTCTGCGAAGGTGAGGCCTAGGCCTAGCAGAGCAGCCACGGGCCACATGTGGCAATGGAGGCTTGCAATGTGGCTGGGCAGCTGAGGAATTAAACGTTTATTACTAAATTTTAACTTTCTTAAAATTTACATAGCACCTGTGGCCAGAGGCTGCTGTGACAGAGCAGATCCGGACCCAATCGGGGTGGGAATGGTCTGCTGCGCGCAGGCTGCACCCAGAGGGCGCTGGGCGGGTTACCTAACCGTCCTCCGCCACTAGAGGGCCCCCTTGAGGGGTCTTTCGGTACAGAGAGAACAGGTGATGCAGACCCCAGGCCCCCAGGCTGCCACCCTCCTCCCGCGATAACCCGGGGTGCAGACCTCTCCAGGCGGCGGCCTCCTCGGAGCAGCCCCGGGTGGTGGTGTCCACCACACAGGTGGATGACTGCGACGAGTCGTCCTCCTTCTTGATGGAGCGGCTGCTGCAGGCGCTGCGTCTCTCCGGCACTAACCTCACGTCTGCAGAGAAGGGGTGTCTCAGCGCGTGCTCACAGTTCACTCCCAGGGACAGGACAGTCCTTGTCCTTCCCAACCTGCTGGCCCCACCTTGGGCAGTGGGAGGCCAGATCCCCATTCAGATCCCAGCTGCTGCCAGGAAGGGAGCTGGGTTTAGATCAGGAGCAGCAAATGCCAAAGCCAGCAGCTGCGGCCACAGCTGAGACTGGACGGGGGACCTCAGCCTGCCTTCTACAGTCTGGCCAGTATTCAGACCCATTGTGGCCAAGTCTTCTGACATCACAAGAGACCCAAGAAATCCATACATTCATGTGAAAATTCTAGATTTTCAAGGCCGTGGCCTAATTTAAAAATTTTTTAAATGCTTTATCAACCAACATTATTTGAGCAAAACAAAAATACTGTTACCAGACGCAGCCTGGCAGGGCATAATACGTTTCTGATCCATCCCAAGGAACAGACAACCCTCAAGGTCAATTGCAAAACAAGAAAATAACATCAGCCAAGATATGGCAGTGTCCTAGAGGATTCAAGGTCATGAGGAGCCAGGCCAGGGGCTACTGGAGCTTGGGAGAGTGGCGGCACACACAAAGATAAGATCAAGGACAGGCCCTGTGCAGCCTCCTGATGGGTGTCCCCACCCCTGCACTGACCCCAGAGGTGCTCCCACCCCTGCTGGGCTCTCCTGCCTCCAGGGAGGCGGTCAGAGGGTCATACCCACAGTGTGCTTTGTGTCCTGTGCCAGTTGCCTCTGTGGGACCTGGGGTGGCTCAATGTTGAAGTGGCTGCCGTTGTGGGGCAAGTGTTCGTCTGAGCTGCTGGGGGTGCTGGGGGCCTCTCCAGGGGGTGATGGGAACAGCAGCAGCTTCTGCCCCTTCAGGTTGAGCCGGGCAGGGCTGATGAGGGGCCTCCGGTGGCGCAGAGAGCCAGAGCTGGAGGCCACCGAGCCGGCCACGGAAGGCGCCGGGGAAGGGAATGGAGAGGAGGGGCAGCTCCCCGACAGCAGAGAGAAGTAATCTGGAGGCGGGAGGATGAAAGTACAATGCCGGTAACGCATGAACGTCTGGACTGTCACAGTAAGCCTGCCACGGCTACTCTGTTCCTGTCAACCCAGGAAGGAAGGCAAGGCTGTGCAGAGGGAGCAGCCAGTACCGCCAGGCACCTGAGGGAGGGGAGAGGACCTCAGGACCTCAGCAATGTCCCCTCTGCCTCCTGATTTCTATCCAAGGCTCTGGTCCCTCCCTCAGCTGAGAGCAAGGCTGGGACAGAAACCAACTTAAGACTTAAGGTCAGCTCACCTAAGCCCTGCTGATGCAGAACCCCAAGTATGCCACCTCCACCAGTGGTCACCGATAAGGACGACAGCATTGTATCTAATCCTAGAAACTATCATGCCCATTTCACAGATGAGGAAACTGAGGGACAGGGCAATGAGTCACTTGCTGCACAGCTGGGAGGTGCAAGGCTGGGATCTGAACACAGGCCCTGTCTGATCCCTGAGCTCATGCTTAACCTCTGCTGCCCCCCCCATGCTCTGGAAACCTCTCCCACATGCTCCCCACCGGAGGCAGCTTCCCCGCCGTCACTTCTCTTACCTGAGACAGGAACCTCCCCAGATCGAGACATCTGAGACGGTGGGCGGCTCCCACTGAACAGATACCCTGAGTCTAGGGGGGAAAGAAGGGAGACACAGGTCAGGCCTGCAGAGACGACAGGTGCCCACCCCGCCATCCCCCATGGCCTGCTCTGCTGAATCCCATTGGTCATGAAATTGGTCATTTACATCCCTGCCTTTCACCCTGGGGGCTGATTAACGTGAGTCATTTCATTTTTTAAAGACTAAACCAAGAAGCAGAGTGCCCAGCGCCTAGCAGTCTGCAACACTCCCTCCACGATGGTCATCAAGAGGCTCCAGCAGGGTCTGCACCCACCGTGGGCCCAAACCCGCCGCATGCCCACCCTGAAGCCCTGAGCCCCCCTGGCTCCTGGTGGGCAGCTCCAGACAAGTCTTTTGGGGAAGGGCCAGGTGCTGGGCCTCCCAGGTCCCCATGTCCAGGGCATTCTGTGGTCCCCCTGCTCCAGCTGCTGCTCATGAGGAGCACAGGAGGCCCCAGGGCCTGAGCTGGGCCAGGTCTCAGCTATGACGCGAGTGCAGGGACTCAAGAACTCTGCTCATCAACGATTTCCTGGCAGGAGCACAGGCAGCAGCCCCTCTCCCATCAACCTGCCACATCTGCTGACACAGAAACGTCCAGAGTCTAGGTCCCCTCCTGGGTGCAGTCCCACCCCAAAGGCCTCAAACTCCACCCACCACTCAGTCCAAACACTGTGCCCTGTGAGCTGTCCCTCCTGCAATGTGACCCACCCTCTACCTACAAGGTCCCCGACCTGCACACAACAGGGCTAGAAGCCGAAGCCAGGTTCAGCCCCACACCCCAGCAGCTGCAGGACCCCGGGCAAGTCGCAGAAGGAAACTGAGGTTCAGGGGGGTGTCTGATTGAGCAGGAAGCCCCACCTGGCAGAGCTGCTGAGGGGCTTAAATGAGACAGTGACCGCACGTTAGCAAGCCCTGTGCAACTGAAGCGCCCACATTCTTAGAGGTTGGGGTACTCCTCCAGGGCTCCCCCAAGGGTGAGGCAAACCCAGCCTGTGCCAGGCAGCTTCCCCAGGGTTGAGGGTTATCACAGGACATGAGGAGAGCTGAGAAGGCAAAACTGGGTTGAATTTCCCATCGCTTTCCAGGAAGATCCAGCGGGGACAGGTGAAGAATGACAGTCTCTCATGACAAGGACCACGTCTCAGTCATGCCAGAGTCCACGTGCAGCAAGTGCTCAGCAGATGCGACTGACCGGAACCGAATCCTGCGCTCTGGACCACACAAAGGCCAGGGGCAAAATTCTCAGGCCCCAGGTCGAAAAACAACATCGGAAAAAATAAGGGCAAGGATGGTGGTGAAAGCACACCCCAAAGGACGTGAACATTTCCCGAGCACCCGCAGGATGCCGCTGCCCTCGTGCTTAACCCTCACAGCCACCATGAGATGGGTTCTACTGCTAGTCTTATTTTTCTTGAGGGAAACTGAGTCCCTTGGCGAAGGGCAGCTACTTTGTGGACGCAGCAGGATTTGAACCCAGTTCCTCCAGCTTGCACACAGTTGGCGTCCCTGTGCCCAGCTGCCCCCAGGCCCGCTGATGCCCGAGCGCCCCTTACCTGCTCGGGTCAGAGAGGGTATGGTTCCCAGCGAGAGTGCCCGGCTGAGGCGGCCTGGCAGCGAGGAGGGCGAGGCCCGTCGGGGCGACCGGAACAGCTGCTGGTTGGTGAGGGGCAGGAAGCTCGGCGAGGCGGAGAGGAAGAGAGACGGCGAAGAGCCCGCGCTGCTCGGGCAGGGGACGCCCAGGCTGGGGCATGTGGGGAAAAGGCCGGCAGAGTCTCCGGGGAGGTACCTGCAAGAGCCCACGGGCAAGGCGGAGAGGAGGGTCAGCCTGGAGGGCTCTGGGGGTGGCCTCCGCCTAGCTGTCCCCTCTCCCTCGGTACAGGTGGGGCCTGAGTCAGGGTCCCAGAGGCGGCGTGCGTTAGTTGAAGCGGGAAGCAGTCTGACCACATTCACACCATTAGGATCAGGTGGCTGGGAGGTGCCAGCATGACCCACCCCTCCCCGCATGCCCCCTCAGATCCCCTCAGCGTCACAGCAAACTAGTTCCACTACAAGTCTCGGTATTAAAGTGACACTGTCACCCTTGCCAACCTCACGCCAACCCTTCACCTTGAAGCAAAAGTGCCCAGCCCCGTGCCAGGCTCTCAGTAAAGGCCAGTGGCCTTGGGCTTCTGCTTGTCCTTCCTGCTTGTGCCCAGAGCCTCCTGACAGTGGCTGAGCTCAGGGGGCCCTGCTCCCTGGAGTCTGCCTGCTGCTCTCCGGCCTCAGACATGGGACACTAATCTAAAGCCCCTTGTAGAGCAGAGAGGGGCGGCCAGGCTTAGGATCCCCAGGAAGAGAGACAGGACAAAAGCCAAACTTGAACTTGGAAAAGACCGATCCATAAGCGACCGCAAGGCTGCCCAAAAGACAGGTGACAGTGTCTCTTTAAGTCGAGAATGGTACAAATCACACAACAGGACCCGGTGGCCCCAAGCCAGAATGTCAACCATGCTTCTGATTAAGGCAACCGATTACAGAGGGGGAAGGACAGCAACAGTTAATACATTAGTCTGCCCACTGTCTGGATGGAGTCTCGGGAGGCCCAGCCTTACCTCGGTCCCAAGGGACAAAGGAGACCATGGACAATGTGCCGACGGACTGGCAGGCTGGCTCAGGCCCTGCAGCAGAGCCAGGCGGCTAAGGGACCCACCTGGGCCATCACAACCGAACGCACAGGGCCCCATTAGCCAAGCTGCACTCCGCTGAGTTCCTCGCTATTTTCACCCCTCCCTTTCAACAAGCTTTGAGGAAAGCACAGGGTCAGTGTTGCCCTCCTAGAGATCACGTGACATCTTTAAGGCCTTCCAAAGGGCCAGCAAGCCACTTGGACTTCACAACCAAAGGCAGGCTCGTGTTTGGGGAACGTGGGGAAATCAAGGCAGGAGCTCATCAAGCCAAGCTGCAGAGGTTTGGTTGGCCTGGCTGGCCCCAGGCTGCACATGCCTGCACTCCACCTGCTGACCTGTCCCGAAGCCCCCAAGACACCTGGGGAATGCTTCCCCCCTAAACAAAAGGTACAATTTTGTACCCTCGTTTTAGAATCGCGAAACCATTCGCGGGGCGGGGGGGGAAGCTTTGGGCACGCTGGGACCTTAGGCCAACTTGCTCTGATCATGCATAACGCTGTTCCCTGCTGGGGCCCGCGCCTCCTAGAGACCCAGGTCTGTCCTGTGGAGCTGCAGCCGAGGCCCTTCCAGCAGATGGCAGCAGGACTCTGTGGTGGGGCTTCCTGTGCCACGCCCACCAGGCAGCCCTCCTGGGGCCACCCCAGCAAGCAGCAAGTAGAGGAGAGGGTCCGAGCCAGGCTGCAGGTTTCAGAGGTGGCCAGCTGGCCCAGGATAAGCTAGGTCTTGCCAGCACTTTCCCCATCGTGCTCACACCTGCGGCCACCCCATGCTGAAAACCTGTCTTGCATCATCTGGCACAGGGGCTGTCGTGTCTCTGATGCCACTAAAAACGTTGGCATTGAGGGGGAAACGGTTCTTCGGTCTGACCCCTCTCGCTGTGACAGCCAGTGACATCACTCAACTAGCAGATCCTTATAAGGTGCCAAGTGTGAGCTCCTGTCACTGCTGCAGAGACCAGTTTCCTGGGAGCCTCCTGTTCGGGGGCCCATCTCCGCGGGCTCCTGAGCTTCCAATGAACCGACCCTTCCTTTGGCCAGGTGCCCAGACTGCCCTGCGATCCAGATTCATGTCTCAATAGGCTCCCAGCCTGTACGTCACCGGAACAAAGGGTCTGAGGAAGGGATAGGTGCTTGTACCACGTCCCATCCGACACTGAGAGGGACGTTTGGCCTTCTTCAACCCAATCCCAGTCCAACCCAGGAGTGGAAGGAGCAAGGATGTTTTAAACAGCAGTTATTGAGAAGGGAAAATCCCACCCAGCAGGGCACATGACAGCTGGGAGCTGGGTCGCTAGATGCCCACACTGCTAGCTCCCAAACCTGACTCCTTGGGCATGCCTGTAGCCCAAAATTCCCACCCCGGCACAGAAGCCAAAGAAAGAACGTGAAAGAAAAAACAAAAAAGACGCGGTACCTGACGCCCACCGGTCAGAGCAGGGCCCCGGAGGCATTTATTTAAAATACAGCATCAAACACACAACGTCTATGGCCAGGAGCTGCGGTTACAGTGATTAGAGGGTCACTAGACAATCATCTGCAGTTCTACTACACGACCAGAGATAAGAGACACAGCGAGAGTCATAGACAGAAGGGACACGGGTCCTCCCCAGGCCAGGGCTTCAAGGCAGTTTGCTTCTGGGCAACTGTTACTGGAAGAGCATGCTCAGCCCGGGATGGGGACCCCAGACCAGAAGGAGAAGACAGCCATGTGACGTCCCTCACATCCTGGGGACAGAGGTCCCTGGCAGGGGTGACACATTCCCAGTTAATAAACCACGATCCCAGTGGTGCCTGCACTCCCTCGGCTTTTACCAGTAACATCAGAAGGTGCTAGAATATGCTCCAAGTAATGAAACTTTAAGGGACAGACAGGTAATTCAAAAAGTCACACAAAACCCTAAAAAGGCCAGGAAGCCTTCCTCTGATGAGGCTCATTTCATGAGGGTATCTTCCCATCCCCACCAGGGGTAAGGACAGACATCTGCTCAGCAGGGGCTCCTGGCCAGCTAGAGAGCTGGTTCTGATTATAAATAATTTAACTTAAATACACACATACACACAGATGTCCTGTTCCTACTCAACGCCAAGAAAAGCAGTAATTAGCAACAGGCTGTCAGCTGCCTTGAGAACAGAAGACCCCAGAGACAAGGGCACGCACGCAGCCCGCTGACACCCGGCTCTGCACCTGGAAACGCTGCCCCTCGCCCTCAGGCAGGCTGGCCGGGGAAGGACAGGCAGACAGGCTAGGTGCTGGCTCAGTCACCCCACTCGTCCTCCACTTCCCTTCCACGCAGAATAAGCAGGCAGGGGCTTGTCTGAGGCCACACAGCTAATGGGGGGCAGCTCCTGACGCTCCAGGCTCTTCACACATGGATACGGAGCAGGGCATGGGATCGGTAGGGTGGGGTGGCCTCTTAGGACGCCGTGAACATGAAGATTAGTGACAGTGGGGCTCAGGTGCAACTCTTGTGCTCCCTGGGACCTCACCTGGGGTCTGGCCAGGGCCTGTCCCACATTCCCCGCAGGCTCAGTCAGTGCCCCCTTGCTGAGTGTGGCCCTGATACACGTGTCATCTGGCCTTGCGGAGTAGAGGGAGGAGGCTTGAGGGGTGTGATCCACTCTATGGTCACCAAGAGTACAAAACACGAGGTAGGGGACAGCCTTGGTCCACTCTCTTGCCCTGACCCTGAGGCAGCACTCATTTCTAGAACAGGTCCACACCGAGGTCGGCACTCACGGGTCCTGGAAAGGGGTCTATCGCTCATTTCACAGATGGTAAACTGAGGCTGGGAACAACAGGGACCTGCAGGACCACAAAGCTAGTGAGCAGCAGGTCTGTGCCACGCACCAGCTCCTTCCCCTGGAGCACCGACTCTGGGAGGAGGCAGCCCTTCATGGGGCTCTGGGTCAGCATTGGCCGTCCCCTTCCAGGGAGAGTGCCGCTGAGGCCCCTGTGGGCTTCATGGTGTCCTCTAGGGGCAGAACAGTAGTGACTGACACACCAGAGTGACAAGGTGACAAAAGATCTGGTGTCTTCATGGACCTGCATGTCTCTTAGGCCGTTTACCCTGTGCTAACCTTGGGCAACTAGATCTTTTCCCAGGCATCATATGAAGGGGTGAGTAGAGAACTGGGGGCATCCCACACATCAGGGCAGTGGCAGGGCCAATGAAAGCTATTCAGGCCCCGCACTGCTGGCCAGTCAGGGCAGCCTTGGCTCAGGAAGCCTGAACCCCAGTCCCTGCAGGGGCACGTGGAGGACCCAGCCATGAGGGCTGGGGTCCTGACTTTACAGGGCAGAGCTGGGGGCTTCCAGGAGAGTGGGCAGGGCGTGTGTGCCCTGGTTCTGTCTGACCCAGAGTCATGTCAAATAAATAGATGAATATAGGACGCTTCAGAGCCCCCCAACCTGGGCCAACTCCCACCGCGGCCTAGCTGTTAAGAAACCTGCTGACCACAGCAGAAGCAGGATCTTCTACTGTTCACCTTGAGAAGAGCCTTGCCCTACACACTCGTGGTCAAGGGCAGCCTAGGCTTAAGAACTGCACCCTCCACTCCCAGGGAAGGAGGCTAAGGGGTAACGGGGTTCTCAGGAAGCTCTTGGAGTGGGAATGGAGCAGTGGATCTAGGGGGACAGCCCAGGCTCCCTCTGGTCCCACCAGCTTCCAGAAGGGCTGGCAGGCACAGGGCAGGACAAAAGGGACAGACCAGAGAAGTGATGTGGGGGTGAGGTGCAGGGCTCTCTTCTGGGACCCGCTCAGCAGCACCTGCCCGTATCAAGTTACCCAAGTGGTCAGGCCATGCGGCAAGGGCCCAGCCGGCAGCCAGCTGTCACCAGCCCGTGCCAGGAGCTCAGAGACGGGGCTTGTGAAAGGGGATGCAGACAGCAGGCCCACAGCCCTCATCCCATGGTGTCAAGAGCCAGAAAAAGGGCCATGGCCAGGATGGGGATGCCTGGAGCTGCCAGGAGGAAGCTACAGGTCAAAGGCAGGCTGTGTGGGTGCCACCCATGTTCTGGCCTTGGGGCAATGGGGGGGGGGG